GAGGCTTCACCACCCATTTATCCCTCTGCCTTTCAACCAGCCCCACATGTGATTATCGGCCAGGCTGGCACAATTAACTAACTCACTGCTGAAGAAAAAAAGGAGCTTACAGATTTAAAAAGCACGAAGTGAAGCTCAGAGAAGGGGTGCAATGTACTCAGTGTCCCAGAACTCCTAACATGAACCTGGGTGTCTTGTGTGACAAGTGACTAACCAAGCTAAGCTGTGCACTCTTGGAACCTGTGAGCCTCTGTCCTTTCCCTGCCGGTCTGCTCACCTTCTTGCTCTCTCTCTCTCTCCGAGTGTCCATGTTCACCGGCTCTTCCTTTTCCTCCTCCTTCCTGCTTCAATTTCTGTTCTCCCTAGCTCTTCTGTGCACCTCATTCTTGCTCCCTCTCTTTCAATAACCAAATAAAATAAATAAGTGAATACTTTTCTAAGGTAGTTCTCAAACCTTTCTCTAGAAACGTAAGGTGCTTCTACAAACTCCTCTGAGAAATAAGGCAACAGGTTGTATTCATGCGCTTAAAAGGCTTATAAGAAAAACAAGTGTGGGCGGGGCAGGGCGGGACAAATGAAAGGTCCTGAAACAACAATTTTATTTGGAGAAAACAACGCCCAGGATCCCTGGCCCTCCTCTTGCACAGGGTTGCTGCCCTCCCCACCTTCCCATCTCTCCAAGTGCTCCGAGCACGAGGACACGCATCAGCAGCCCTCACACAGCCTCACTGACTCTGCCTTTCTTCTCTGGCTGCTACTCTTACCACCTCTCAGCTACAAGCCACTGTCATTCAGCTCCACCATCGCTTCCTACAGCAGCCCACAGATCAACAGTTCTGTTCAGGCAGCCCACGTTAAAGCAGCAACCTTCTATTTGAAATGTAGGTCTCCATGAGGTATATTTGCTTCCTCCTGCTGCCACTACCTACCACGCTATCAGCGCTTCAGTACTGCTCTATCACTTTACTAACAGCTACCTGAACCAGACCTCTAGGCAGAAAAGACTGTCACTAGGCCACCGACACAGCGCTACAAACCTGCTCTCCAACTCTCAAGTTTCTTAAGGCAACTGCCCTTCAGCTACTACCACTTAGACCTGCCAGATACTATTCTTCAGGAGATTGATCTCTAAGGCCCCATTCTCTTCAGCCTGTTAAGAAAGGCCTTCCCCAGAACACTAAGGGCATGCAACCGAACAGCAAGGGAACGGAGTGGCCAGGCCCCCAGGGAATGCCAAAGGGGGACTTTGGGGCCAGGGCTTGGTGCCCCAACAGACTGAACTGGAAAACACTCCTAAAGGCTAACAAACAGTCCTTGAACTAGCTACTAGCTTTTCTTTCTTGATGTGTTTTGTTTTGTTTTCTGTCATTGGTTTGTTGCTATTTTGTTTT